CTATGTCCCTAATCTGTGTAAATCCTCTAGCAACAAGACGCGCTTTGTACCTTACTTGACCATTAGCATCAAGGTTTTGCTTAAAAATCCATTTTGTGTCAATAGGATTCCTCCCTCTTGGTAAATTGGCAGGTTCGTACACATTTAACCTTTCCATGTTTTTCAGCTCTTCATCTGTAGCCTCTAACCATTTTTCCTTTCTTCCCTTGTGGCAAACTTTCTATTTCCTCAAAACTTTGAGGCTCATAATTAACTAAACATACTCTCACATTTTGTATTGTGAACCTGTCAGGTTTCTTTCTGGTTCTCTCACTTCTTCTGAGTAAAATTTCCTGACTAGTTCCTTCCCCAGGATCTTCATTCACCTCATCATCCTCATCTGAGAGCCTAGACCTCTTAAATTTTCTAATTATAGGCTTACTTATGAGTTGAGGTGTAGCAGCACTTTCCTGCACTGTGTTTTGTCTACCTTGCTCACGAGTTTCCTCTTTCGAAATAGGAAAGAAAACTTCCTGATTAGCATGAATCTTATCCCAATTCTGGCTACAGGCAAAATTAGCAGATCTTGATATAACAATGCTTCCTTCATTATCTAAAAATCGCCAAGCTTTGGCTCCCTGTGCATAGCCAACCATTGTTAATTTCCTGGCTTTGTCTTGGCCTTTCCTTCTTAATGGTTTGGGGATGAACACCCATGCCTGTGTTCCAAAAGTCCTTAAATGCCCTAATGGAGGCTTCTTGCCATATAACATAAAATAAGGGGTGTTCTGAATAGGCTCACATCAGAGTCTATTAATTAAATAACATGCAGTCATTACTGCTTCTCCCCATAGATTTTGGGATAATCCAGAATCTTCTAACAAAGAATCTTTCACTGTTTGCACTTTTCTTACAAACCTTTCTATCTTTCCATTTTCTGCACTTTGATAAGCACATGTGAGTCTGTGCTTTATCCCCTCTTGCTTCAGAAAATTTTCTAAACTATGTGAGGTAAACTCTCCTCCTCTGTCAGTTTGGAGAGCCTTTACTCCTACTCCAAATTGTCTCTTCACATATGCCACCCAATTCTTAATAATATCAAAAACGTCACTCTTTTGTTTTAACAAAAAACACCAAGAAAAACAAGAATAGTCATCTAATAAACACAGTATATAACAGGCTCCACCCTTACTCGGTTGAAATGGTCCAACTAAATCAGCATGTACCAACTGAAACTTTTCCTCTGAGTTTCTCAAACTTTTACTAACTGGAGCTGACTGTGTTTTAGTTTTCTTGCATACATTGCAATCTAGAAACTTCTTGCAATCTTTTAATTTTATGCCTTCACTAAACTCTGGCATTTTATACAACACTTTGAAACTTGGGTGACCTAATGCTCTATGTAAATCATGAATACATTCCTGGTGTAATGGAGCATTCTTACTTATTACATTTACTTCACTTCACTTGTGTTATCTCCTGAGGTCAACACATACAAACCCCCCTGTAATACACCAGTTCCACATAACTTATTCCCTTTCAAAATCCTGACTTTTCCTCCAGAAAAATTAACTTCATAACCTTCTTTATCCAGTTTTCCAACTGATAATAAATTATAATAAATCTCTGGAACTAAAAATACATTCCTTAATGTTTTACCCAAATGCTTAACATAAACTTCCCCTTGCCCCTGTATTTTGTACTGTTTTCCATCTTCAAGGGTAACATTTGAACATTTAGGATTCACAGGGTTACAAATTAAACTTTTGTTGTTCACTATATGCTGTGAACATCCAGAGTCCACATAAAATATGTCTTCAACTGCTGGACTCCCCTGGGACTTCACAATTCTTACATACGAGGAACTCCTCCTCTGGTTCACCTTCTTCCCTCCTTGCTTCTTCTGCTGCTTTGGGCAATTCCTCTTTAAATGGTTTGGAGACCCACAATTGAAGCATCTTCTCACCACACAAACTTTCTCCGTCTCCTCCTCGAGTGCAACTCCGGCTGACTGCTTTCCTTGAGAATGCCCTGCTGTGTTTGCAGTCTCCAGGAATTGATCTCTTTGCCTTTCCCAATCAGCAAGAAGTCTGGCACAAATATATTGGAGATTTAATGGTGCTTGGGGGAGTGATTCTAAGGAATTTACTATCCCATCAAACGAATCATCCATGGATGACAGGACAATAAAACATTTGTTCGGCTCTGTGAGATGAAAGTCTCTCTCCTCCAGTTGCAAAAACAAACTCTGCAATATCTGCAAATGGTCTTTCAGACTTTCATTCTTCTCCAGTCTTTTCCTGTAAAGTCGCCTTGCCAGCACAGCCACTGTTGCTGCCACTGTTGCTGCCGAACTAGAAGCATATACTTCTCTGAGTCTCACCCAAATTGCATTGGGAGTTGGCAGACTGCTTATATGAACCAATTGATCATCATCAACTCCTAACATCAGAGTAGACCTTGCTCTTTCCAGAGCTCTCAGCTGCTCTGCTGTAGCTGGCTGCTGCACTGGGTTCTCTGTACATTCCCATAAGGATTCTCTCCTCAAATAACTTTCCATTCTGACTTTCCAAATGGAATAGTTATTGCCATTTAACCTGGCCATAGGAAAAGCAAAATTCATTCCAGTATCCATCTTCATGTTTTGCCAACAAAACACACAATGCAAAACCAAATGTCTTCAAAACTGGAACTGGAGAAAAATAATATCCAACTGGGCAATCTGGTCAGACTGGGCAAACTGGGCAAGCTGGGCAGACTGGGCCCATAACCTGTTGCGGTTTGTTAGTTTATATTGAAAATACACAGCAGTCTTCCCAGCTCCAGGCCCCAAGTTGAAGTACACAGAGTATAAAAGAAAAATGTCTTTACTCTTGAGTAGTCAGCACATGTATTTTATAAAGAAAAATACAGTAGCCTTGAAAACACATTGTCCATCGCAGAAGGAAAAAACACTTACAAAACAATGCATTAATCTGCTTCTTTCCAGCAAACCTTGTAGTGTAGTTCCATCTCTGATTACTTCATTTCACTCACTACCTGCATCAAGAAAACTTCACCTGATATACATCCTAATCAGGGAGTGGTTCTTCCTCAACACACACATATAAGCAAGAGATGATTCTTGTCAAGACTTACAAAATCATATACTGTAACAAACCACGGGTTTAGAAGAACTTTCAAACCACTTACTGTTTTCAAATCCCATTAATCTCCTTTTAAATGCACACATATGCATGCATACTTGTGCCCACACCCTCCCTTTTCAGATCTCATCATCCTTGAGGCAATTCAAAGAAAGTTCTGCAGCTTTTCAATATGGGGAGTGTTGGATGGGAGTTCATGGATGTCTGTTTCTCAAGCTGTTGAGTTGTCTGCCACTGCCTGCTGCAAAGAATTCCCTAAATAAGAAATCTAGTAATTGGCACAACCTAAACAAGAAAATGCACAGACCAGCTCCAAGACAGCCCAGGAGCACCACACAGCTAGCCAGAACAAGGGGGCATTGTGGTCATTCCTACAACCACAGTGTCTTCATCAGCAAATTGTTCTCCGGCAGAGGGTTGCTGTCAATGTCACATTTTTGGTTGCAAGACTGGATGCCATGGTTCAGCATTGCCAGAAATGCACAATTGGAGATATGGAGAGTAGTTTGGCCTGAATCCAGCCTGATCTGATTGCCCACACCTCTGAAACTCTGAAATCACTCCAGCCATGAGCCATGTGGACGCCCTACAGCAGCTGATTGGGAGTCTGGGTTGTTTTTGTTGTGTGTGTGTGTGTGTTTTTGTCTGTGTAGACATGGTCTAGACTTACTTAATGCAACAGATTATAGATGTTATAAAAAGAAGTCTATGCAGGACCGTGTGGGTTGTTAATTCATTAGTGATACAGCTAGGTTGTCAGTAACGGTTACCTCTTTCCAACAACAGATTCCTTGGTTAAGTGAGAGGGAAACCTGCTCTTCTCCAAGGATATGCTCTCCTTGAGTGCCTTTAGTGAATTATTAAATTCTGTTAATGATAGCACTTGACTGAGAGCTGCTCTTATGAGGACTCTTCTCCTGAATTTCTGCTTCATATAGTGGGCATGAAGGAACCCTTTTACTCCCTGTTCTCTACTTTATGTTTCTATGTACAGCAAATCTGGAGCAACCCAAGCCTGAATAGTACTATCACTTTTTTGTAGAACTTTATTTATGCTTAGAGGACAATGGTGGTGATATCTTTTGCTTATGGTGGTTGCTAAGAGCAAGGCCTGTGTTGTATAGTAGGCAGAAATCGTTTACCTCAAAATGCTCTCAAGGGGCCTTTGGAGCATTTTGGCCACATTTTTTGGTAGAGCTTCACCTACCTGTCCCAGGTCTCCACAGAAGAGACCTAGCCTCCCAGTTGACTGCCTTTGTGGTTCAGTAAGGTAGTCCAAAGTCCACATGTTTTGAACAGTTTCATGAGAAATCTGTTTCGCAATAATATAATACAGTTGACTCACCCTTCCCTTGGGTTCTGTATCCATAGATTCCACCACCCATGACTTAAAATATTCTAAAAAGAAAAAACAAACCTCAAAAAGTAAATCTTGCTTTGCAATTTTATGTAAGAGACACTAATTTACTAAATTTGTATATAATGGAAGTTCGACATCCAATGGATTTTGGGTACACTGTGTTATTGTGAAGTTCGACTTGTGTGTTTCATTGTCAAGTTGTGATTTTAACCTTGCTTGCTTTCCTTTTTCATTCAGGTTATGATCACTGGAAAGGGCAGGTGTTAAATTCAGATGAACTTCATGAATTGTATGAGGGACTAAAACTGAACAATGTGAACCATTATGACTACGTACTTACAGGTTAGTAATTGTTTTTGTTTGAACTTATGCTTGCTAAATAACTCAAAATATTTAGAGTATTCTGGGGAAACGTTTCTTCCAATAAAGTATAAAACCATTTCTGCTACCTTGGCAGCCACCTCTCCGCAAAAGTCAACATTGACACTGAAATACAAAACCGCTTGAGCTCTGTGAGTGCAGCATTTTTCCTAATGAAGCAAAGAGTGTTGGAGGACCAGGACATCTGTAGGAATACCAAGGTGCTTGTTTATAAAGCCATTATCCTCCCCTGTTATTTGCCTGTGAAACGTGGACTGTTTACAGATATCCCACTCAACTCCTGGAATGATTCCATCACAATTGCCTCTGAAAAATCCTGCAAATCTCTTGGGAAGACAGGTAGAAAAATGTCAGTGTGCTGGAAGAAGCAAAAACCACCATCACTGAAATGATGCTTCTATGCCATCAACTCCGCTGGACTGGCCACATTGTCCGAATGCCCGATTACCATCTCTCAACTCTCTACTCCCAACTCAAGAATGGAAAGCAGAATGTTAATGGACAGGAAAGGGGGTTTAAAGAGGGGCTTAAAGCTAACTTTAAAACTGGCATAGGCACAGAAAACTGGGAAGCCCTGGCGCTTGAACTCTTTAGCTGGAGGTCAGCTGTGACCAGCAGTGCTGTGGAATTTGAAGAGGCATGAATGGAAGGCAAAAGGGAGAAACATGCCAAAAGGAAGGTGTGTCAAGCCAACCCTAACCAGGACCATCTTCCACCTGAAAACCAATGTCCACACTGTGGAAGAACATGCAGGTCAAGAATAGGGCTCTACAGTCACCTGTGTACCCACTGCCAAGACACTGCACTTGGAAGGCCATCATACTCAGACAACAAGGGACCGCCTAAGTAAGTAAGAGACTAAGAGACCCATTCGCTGATTTACATCAACCGTCCATCGCTTACATCTGTGAACCACAATAACCTTACCAACTGATATCTGTTTATCAATACCCTTATAGTATTGTTTACAAATCGTCCACTGTAGCACTTTACTGCACCCTTGCCCTATCTGCTGCTAATTCCAACTCAGCATTTTAGCTACTCTAATCCCTCCATGCCGCACTTTAGATAGCACTTAACGCTAGACTCTGGTCTCCCTTGCACTTTAAGAACTGCACTTTATGAACTGCTCCAGTTTGCACACGACTGTGAAGCTTACTGCACTTCCGATACTGTAAATTCTATTAAGTGTCTACCATCATTACCCATGTGGTACCCTATTCCCCTATATTTATTGTCCGTGGTGTTAATAACCTGTGGAAGGGGCAAGGGATGAAACGGGCTGGAGGCCGTGGAAGATAGTAAGGTGGGGAGGGGGGATAAAGGAAATGGGGAAATATGGCAAAGCAAGATTCTAACAAACCAAACAACCAATAATGGAACAGAAGTTAAGGTCATGGAGTGGGACTGCGGCATGGAGGAGGGGAGGTGTTCCACTAGCTGAGGGGCCCCCATAGAAGTCGTGGTGGGGAAGGGGAGATGCGGGAAAAGGAGACCATTAATTCGGCCTAATTCGGATCGTATAACTTCATTAGTAATTCCAAACCGGTCTCCTAATACAGTAAATTGGTGTAACCAGGTTGGCGGTCCCTCTGGATTGAAGGTGGTGCTATTGAACGCCAGATCTGTCAACGGAAAAACAACTTTTATCCAGGATTTAATCCTGGATGAGCGGGCAGATCTG